CCCAACTTTCCTTGTTTTTGTAACCCTCTCTTTTGTCATATTGTCCAACTGTTCACTTTGCTCTTCCAGCTGAGCAACCACATTTCCTTGGTATCCATATTTCCTTTCATCATTACACTTATTTCCAATCACACAGCATGTCTGACATCCTTTTCTACCTTTTCCACTACTATATTCTGTGAAGTATTTCATCATCCAGTTCACCATCACTTCATACTGTTGAATCCAGGCTCCTGAAAGTTTTCACTCTCTGCAGTCCTTCTCTTTGCAGCTAGATTTCAAGATCATCATTATTGAAGCCTAGGTATTCATTATTCTTTCACCTGATCTTTGATCCTTTTTCCCTGTATTTTTCCAAATTTTCTTTAATTCCATCCCTTCATGGTCCTGTGTATATAAGTTTATTATATTTGTGTGGTAACAATTTTTTTTCCCTTTTTTTCATATGAATTTGGGATATTTTACATATATATATGCCTACATGCTGTATTAAAACATTTCTGTTATAGGAAAACATGTTGAGAGTCCAGCTGGCAACTAGTGTTGGAAGTCCGCCAGTGTCCTTAATGCAGCAGTGCACATCCATCCTGCAGGCAGGCACAAAGATACCAACAAGGCTGGGTATCCTCATGCTCCTCTCCACCTGGCTATCTCACTGTCCTGTTGCTGTACAAAATTTCCTCTCCATACCTACTGCTGTGCCATATCTTACAGCCCATGTTAGTCTCTTTGGAAATGTGTACTATTAGACTAGTATTTATATATAGTAACTTTGTATTTCTTATTTTCTTGTAATATTTCCTGCTGAAAAAATCTAAAATCCAGCTTATAGATTTTAGATATTTCTGATAGGATCTTGAAAATTGACACTAATTCACTTTTACAGGTGCAAGCAAATGAACATGATGAGTTGGAGTTAGTGTGCCAAGGCCTTTGTGCCTTCGTCCTGGGCTTATGTGGTCAGTTCAACGATGGAAGTAGCAGTAATTTCTCCCAGGAGAGTCTCCGACAGCTTGTAAGTGACCGCATTGGTGCAGAAAATTTCAGCGACAAGTTGAGCAATATATCCAGGACTGAAGCCTATACAAAAGCAGCCAAATCTCCTCAGCTCTCAGCCAAACAGTCTTCTGACCTTGTGTTTGATCATGAATTCTGTCGACTTTTCAAAAGCCTCGAAGGTGAGAAATGAGTCAAATTTAAGATTGTCATCAGAAACATCAAAATATGCCTTTGTGTACATAATCTTTTGTTTGTAAAATTATAACCCATTGAGACAGGTAGTTTTTTCTTCTTTCTTTGTATTTCTTTTCTTTTATTTATTTATTTGTTTATATATTTATTTTTCAACTGATTTTCCCCTCCTGTCCCTTGAAAAAGTAATATCGAGTTTTTTCTCTATTCTTTATAGATATTTTATTCTACTATATAGAAAAAAACACTGAAAATACATCCTTTTCACTTAATTTTTTTGAGTTGGTCGTATAGCCTAAAATTGATGGAAAAAGAACCATTCTGAAAATCAACATTTTGGAGCACTATTGCAAAATAAGCATGATTATTTCCTATATTCTTGATACTTTTGTGTCAATAATGCTGATATTATCTTAGCAATATTTTAGAGGAGCCTCCTGGCCCATTCAGCAGTCACCATATGGTAACATTTGTGCTCTCTGGTACAGTTTTCATACATACTAATCTTGGTGCATTATGAATGATTCAGCAATACACTGTGCAGCTAAAACAAACCAGTAATTTAAGTAATTCATTATAATAACCACACTTACCTTGCAAACAATTGAATGATGGGGAGGATCTGCATAAGTACATACAGTGTGGGGACACATCATGGCATTTGGAGGAATGTGTTATTTTTATTTTTGTTTATTTTTATTTGCACTTATTGCTCTGTAGAACAAACACAAAAATGACTGAAATTCCTGGAATATATAAGTATGCCTATGTTACCCATGAAGACAACATATTTTAGGCATATACGAAATACAAATATGAAACTGCCCATCACTCACTTTTGCCCCTAGTAGCCCATGTCCACCCAGACGGTTCCTTTAATCATACTGAATAGAGGAGTTTATGTGGCTTTCTTTGATTATTGATTTTTTTCTAGGTATATAATATTCATCTGTTAATCTGTTACTTAAAAAAGTTTTGATTAAAAAAACAAGTCTATATCTATTTCCCTATTCTCAGTGTCAGCTTTGCGAGCAGTGACCCCACAGTTAGTAAATGGTACAAGCACAGAGGTCAGTCCAGCAGAAGTGAAAAAATATAAAGACATTATTCGTGATCAAGATGCAGAAATGACTCAATTAAGGGAGCAGCTGAGTAAATGCCAAAGTGATTTAGAGCAAATAGCCTCTGAGAAGGAGAGTCTCACATCAAAAATCCAACAGCTTCACGATGAAAATACAGGTAGGTGTTCATGTTCCATTTTACTGATAACTCTCTATACATGGGTTTTGTTAAACCTTTTTTTTAAACA